AAACAAGAAACTGCATAAATGTTTCAGCGAATAAGCGTTTCGTGAATAACGAAAGTAAAAACTAACCTGTCCGACGGGGTTGGCTGTCATTTGTTGTTGATTACTGTTTTGCTGATACGCTCGAGCTGACTGCTCAATAAATGCAGCCATATCATGCATTCCTAACGACCTGTAATACTCAATCCACTGAGCACTGTAGTCAGGTTGCCCTTAAAGTTAGAATGTTTACAGCAGCGCAAAACAAAACTTCAAACCTGTCTGAGGATTAATCGCAGGAGTCACAGTAGTTGAAGACTGAGTTGTAGCGACTGGCGCAGTAGTCTGCGTAGGGTAAGCCTGTCCATACTAAACAAAAAGATATTTAGTTACAAGTGTAACCACGACCCATGACTTACGAACCGGAACAGTTGCATTTTGCGGATAGTACTGCGCATAAAGAGCTAAAGCCCAGGCAGCTGCATTGGGATCAGTAGCTGCAGCCGGTGTGCCTAAAACGAGCAAATAATTGCGATCAATCTGTTTTCTTGCCAGTACCGTATGAAGGATAGCTGAACTGGGGTTGCAGAACAGCGCCGCTTGGAAATGGTGGTAGAGGCGTATCGGCAGGGATCTACGGTAGAAAGGGTAAGAAAAATTTCAATAAACGGCATCTTACGTACATCGCCAACCCGAATTCTAATAAGATGTGATGCGTGATGAATCTGCTGCGAAGTGCCTTTAATGACAAAGACCTTCTCGTGATCATTTGGCACTGGATCTCTAGAGAGTTCAACTCGAGCGCCACTTTCGGTCGAAATTTGCTTGATAGTCTCGCCGCCTAAAAAAGCGGTAACGTAACGACAGTCATACGGATGATATTAACCTTTTCCGATAACCAAGCCCGTTTTAGTTGCAGGCACATGCATGTAAAACACGTCAGCATCGCCATTCTAAAAGTAACTTACATAATGTAGGACACGGGCAAAGCCAACGTTTAATATGATACCTGACAAACTTCATGGACTGAAAACTTAAAGACACTTGCTACACGAAGCAATGATTTAAAGTAAGTAAACTTGTGTTCAAGACAGAAATGCATGCTTACTGAAAAATAGTTCGCACGTAAACGTGTGTAGCAAAACACTACACGACAAAGAGGTAGTTAAGATTTATTTTTGAAAAAAATGTTTATATCAGTAGACAAATAAGAACTACTTTTTGAATAACCTATTATTAATTTTCAAACCTTGTAAAGTACCAAATGCAAGTTAAAGATTGGACTCAGCGAATATAGGCTGAAACAAGATATTCTAAAATACCGTGGATTATCACCATTAGCTAAATTAAAGCTCAGAATAAAGAGCAAATAAAATAATACTTTGCACCACTAATGACCCTGATATTCTGGGAAGACCATGAAAAACAACAACATTCTATGCCGCCAGTCAAAACAGTATCCTGTCCGTTTGTCAGATTTTCGCAGTGTATTCGCACCGACCCTTTCCTTCTTCATGCACAGGGGACCCTTCCAGCAGGGCAAAGTTCCTCACCCTATCTGAGCACCAGTAGTGCGTTGAGGCCATGCCCTTCAATGTTGGGTCGAATAAATACGCGTTCTACCATCAATCGAAATGGTAAGTTGAAACTTCATGCATCTAGAAGAAAGACGACGGTGCGAAATCATCGTGAAAATTCGACAAAGAGACAGGATACTGTTTCAAGCGGCGGCCTCCGATATTGCTAACTTTACCAATCACTGCAAAAAAATCGAGATCTCTAGTGGTGCATATAAATGTCAGCTGATTCTGATATTTTTTAACCGGTGAACGAATGGCCACTGCTCGGTCCAACTCAGACTGTTCGAACGCGTATTTATTCGTCCCAACACTGTGGTACAGTATAACGACCACGCATTACAGGTGCTCACATGCAATAAAGCCATGATCTCCGGAGAAGCTTTCCCAAAAAAAAACCAGAAGGGGACGGTTCGAATGCGCTGAGAAAAAAACACTTTTAATGCTAAAATAACTCTATCAAGGAGGACTGCGATTCTATTCAGAAACGTAAAAATACCTTGTTAACCAAATCCGTAATTAATTGCGTTGCTTTCTCGATCTGCTCTTTGGTACCAGTAATGACAGCAGTCCTCTGTGGTGCATCATAATCTTCTGAAAAAAAATCAAATTATGCAGGTAACTATAAAAAATGATCGAACCATTGCGTCTGAACTGTATCTTAGCACCAGTATCTTGAGTGAGACGCTTGATTACCTCGCCATTTCTACCAATTATGACACCTACAGCAGACTTTGGCACAATAATCTAAAAGAGAATTAAAAAATCGAAATATAGGTAGTTATAGCAATCAACCAACATGAAAAAGTATAAAGAACTAGTTAAGTATAAGTTCTTTCAAATTTAGTGCTCAGTGTCATAACAAATTACATTACTTCAAGGACAAAAGTGCGACAGATGACCGCTTCTTAATGAAATAATCGAGAGTTCATAAATTCACCTTAAGCGTATCGACAGATAATGCAGCGAAAAACAAACAAACTTGACCACAACTGTTTTAAGCAAGACAATTTCTTTCGTCGTGAGAAACTATACGCAACTTGTGATTAGTGACGTCATTTCAATGTTTAACATCCCATTTTGCCTTCGCTTCTCTAAAGCGGCTATGATGAAAAGGAATAATTAACAAGTGTTGAAAGTTGCAGCAGTAGAGAAGTTCATTTCCAATTACATGTGATTCCAAACTACTTCTGCTGGAGATCAAATCCATTATCAGATATCAAAACGATGACTTAAGGCAAGAACATATAACCAGCTGCAAGTAAGGAAGAATACTTACTTCGCCGGTCGTTTTATTTCCAGACAAACCGCCGTAATCACTATGCGGCGGTATCCTATCGTCCTTTGAATTCAAGATTTTATCGACAAGTTTTTTAGCATACTATAACGAATACAGAAATTTGCACGCATAAAATATTATAAACTCATACTTCAACTTTTTCAGGTTCACCGATAATCCGAAGAGGTTTTGGAGTTGAAGAAACTTGACTATTTTCTTGAATCATTACCATCTTAACACCCGCTTTTTCCTCCAGACTTTTTATTATTTCTCCTCCTTTACCAATCACCAGACCGCACTTTGATCCAGGTATTAATACTTCAACTGTCATAGTTTTAGCACTCAAAGCAGATCCAGGAGCAATCCCTGGAGCACCAGGTGTCGAGTAGGCTCCGTTCTGACTAACGCTGTTGCTAAGAGAAGTCATACGCGACGGCGGTAAACTTTCACCAGCTTTCATGATAATAGCCTCCATAAGACATTTTGCCTTCCTAAAAGAACACTGAAATTAAAACGTAATATACACCTAACAGCTCACAAATTTAAACATTGATAAATCATATCTCTGCTTTGCAGAAATGTTTGCTGCACTGAAAAAGAGCATTTTACCACTGAAAGTGCCAAACAAAAAGCTGTATAAATTCCACTGACTGATCAGGAATACATAATGTCATCAGACAGTTCTAATTAGTTAAGGAGGGATGTTATGCCGAGAGCAGCAATTCTTCAGCAACATTTGCTTTAAAAGCTAAATCTGAATAAATCTAAATCTAAATAAATCTGAAAATGTTCTAACTAATCAAAAAATGATAGACTCATCAGATCAGGTTAAACCAATCTTCAGCTGCTATACTACACACGTTACAGAGTTTTAGCACAGCAATAAAAACGAAATGAATGTTTTTGGTGTTGTGCTGACAGTCGTCTGCACGCACTTGTGAAAAACGATGATGATCGAGCGTGATATGAAATATCTAGCAATACAGAAGCTTAAATATGCGAGGAACCGAACTAAATAACGTTTCTCAGCTCAACTCAAATGCAAAGCAATACAAATACTCCGCAAATACGATATATTGTCAGTTCCCAAGCCCAGATGAGAAAGGAGGAGTGCGGGATCGAGGCAGTCTCTTGAACAACTTAACCACTTGCCTTTCGTGCTGTTGATGCTATCGAACGTCATACCGCCTTGGTCGTCGTCCGGATTACCAAGGTAAACGCTGGCTCTTGCGAAAATGAAGCAGACTTCGAAAATGTGGCGAGCAGGACATGCTTTACGCCTTCTGGTAGCTGGGGCAGCACGGCCACGGCTGCTGAATATGGCAAAAATATCAGTTAGCAACGGATTCGCTACCCGTCCTGAAAGGAGAAGGCAGATAGCCCGACGCATAATGAAACGTCAAATAACGTTTGACGGGAACGACACCAATAGCTGGAACTTACAGTAAAAATGTGAACAACTCGTAACTCAGAGAAAAAGAGCAAAAGCGAGTTCATGAGACCGCAAAGTACAAACTGTATGTAGTTCGACTCTCTTAAAAAACACCATTAATCTAGAAATCTGAACGTCTACGGGTGGACGCTTTTAAACCCAGGTGTGGATTCTAGCACCAGCGCCCAGGCCGGTATTCTTGAAGACCCTACCCTGTCTCAGTTACTAAATGGAAGCGTGTCAGCGGAAGTGGAAGTCATACAACAAAGCTTGCCATCGGCGAAAGCCGTGGTCTTGTTATTAGACAATGTGAACAATGTAGAGGGTGAAACTGGATCATTCTTAGATGAAGTAAAAATTTCCCTGAACGATGTGCCGGCAAAGGAAGCTATCGTTATATGGGCGGCTTCAATCAAAACGTCGGAGCAACCACTGAAGAGTGAAAAGGCGTGATTGGAAAGAATACCGATTGCGATTTCAACGGCACGGACATGAAGTGGTTGCACTTTCGTGCTGTTATCAACAGATTATTCGGGTACAGGAAAGCACTTAAGTATACCTGGCACAGGAGAGCCTGCGCAGAAGTCGATTCTTATCATCTGCATTACGACACACTTCAATGGACGTTCGCGTTAGGAGAGGCGCATCGTTATCAATCAATCTTCAAAATGTTGATGACGGCCAACGATGAATTACAACACGATGATAAGGTGCCATAAGGAACCAAAGAATCAAATGGGAAACAGTTTTAGCAGCTACAAGGGTTAAACTAATAAACAACGTCGCAAGACGATTTTTTAGAACCCAGCAATAACGGCTGATATGTGACAGCTCTTTACAATGATTCGCTAGACTGCTGCTGAATGCCTGGTTGACAACTTTCTGTACTGCAGCGAAAAGATCCGAAACGTTGAACTACATGGCAGACACCAATGGTATATGTGGCTGTGAAAGACAAGGTTGCATTCAAGAGGCGGCTTAAAAGCAAAGAGTCTTCAACTCAAATACTGTAAGAAGCGCATAAAACAGCTACGATATTAGTGGCTAAAGCGAAAGCTAACCCTTGGAAAAGGTTCAGTAACGTGCTGGAGGTCAAATTTTCTGACAAAAAACTGGCAGACCATCCGAAACCTCTAAGACAGAAAGAACAATCTAAAAATCCTGAAGGACAAGTCTGGACACCTTCAACCGAAGAAAAGAATACATTTCGGCGACGGTAAGAATACTTCCCTAAACTGCGTAACCTCAAGCATGCACAGGGAGGCTTGCCTGAATTGCATCACAAAACAGATATTAACCTTTTAGCAGATGAAGTCACAGAAGGTGTAATATGCTTGAAAAGCGGCAAAGTTACTGAAATCAATGAAATCCGCTCTGAGACGATTAGAGCTTTAGGCGTACAGCATATGTTGTGGCTAACATGTGTCTGCCAAACTGCAATGAATAAAGGAAAAACAACAGTAGACGGGAGAACTGGGTCGCAGTACCACTGTTCAACAAGGGTGACATGAGGGAATGCTCCAGTCATCCAGACGTTACTTTATTAAG